TTAAACTATTCAAGAATCGAAAGTGATCACCATACATTTGAAATTGGATGGATTTTAATTTTGCAGATTTTAATGGAAAACTCTCATATGTATGTGAAATTAGATCGCATTGTCGTTTATTAGCCGTAACATACTGAATTAAAGACGGGATTGTGAAAGTCACCGAAAGTCTGTGGAAATTTTTCAGTTATTCAAAGTGACATAAATTGAAGCAAAATCATTTCGTAATGTTTTTTTTTTTCGATTTCGTTAACGCTAAAAAACGAAAGAATAATTGTCGTGAAATGCGAAAAGGATAAGACTAATCATCGTGAATTGTTGTCGACTCACAATGGTATTGCGCAGCCCAACATACTTGATTTATGCTCTCTAAATTGAGTGCATTTGTTTTATTCTACCCGAACAGAAATGTTCTCACAGTATCAGTAACAAAAGAGCAGGTTTAGCGGTCATTCGAATTTAATGAAGTGAATAATGATTAAGAGAGAAGCACAGCATTACCGTGTTCTGCAATGTTCTACTTGCAATGACGTCATGATTAATTTTATCTGAGTAATGATAGACCAGATAAGGTGGTCAAATAGAGATGCCTTATCGATGTGATTTTTGAAGCTATTCTGATTACGAATTGGATCATATTGATGCTTAATCATCAAAAAATTGATCGTTGCAAAGGATCGTTCGAGATCTGCTACATATTCAACGTGAGGCATGTAGAACACATGAAATCTGATTGATAATCAAGCATTTCAGTTACATTAACTGTAGAAAGCTGTTAGTATTTTCACGGATTAGCAATATGAGACGGATCAGCTCAATCAGTTACGCTCATTAAAACATTAAACTTGCACAAATAACCTGTTGCTATGCCAGAACGCACTTGCTTATGCGTGGATATAGCTCTTACATCCTCCAACGAGATATAATATCAATAACATCGCACATAGGTACGCATGCAAGAATGCCTGCGCTGCGATTATGGACAAGGAGCGAAAGCGTGTTAAGGATGATACATCATCTAATGACTGGTTGACTTTCGCCAGAAGGGTGTGCTAATTACGGTGAATGTTTTCTGCACGCTGAAAAACTTCAGAAGTTACCCTCATTATACCTCATTGTATTTTCGCTCGTTAAAAATCTCTGTTACAGCCTGAATGCATGTAATCGGATTCAACTGCATGTATGGATGGTTAATCGAGTGCATAGTCTAAGCGAACAGCATCAATATCGAAACTTTTTCAATCTGTTATGTCTCTTAAGCGTTATGCAGAAAGACGACAATGGCTGGATAAGCTGAATTATTCGCGAAGTTGACTCAATTTGTTGTTAGTCTAAGTGAGGTTTGTAATCGAGAATGGGCGCAGCTTTTTACGCCTATCACATTTCTTTGTTGTGTCGTCCTCTCGGATTACAGCAGACAACGCCCCAATTATGGCTGAATTCAGTGAGCGAACAAGCGTTCCAGATGTGCGATGCAATTTTGATTGCTGTTATATTGCATTTTATTTGCGTACTCTCAACAACTGCCCGTTGGCTTGATTAACTCGCATTCACAATGCTTCTAATGCACATCGACAAGTGAATATTCATTTGTTTATTGCTACTAATGCGTTATTTTGGCAATCATTCTTTTTACATTGCTATCCTCTTATTATTATCGCAGAATGCAGATCGTCGCAACACTTTCATTCACCTTGTTACCCAAGCATTGTGCCGGAGAGAAAATTAAGAAATTCTCCTGCGTATAATGACCCGTTCAAGGATCGAAACCTTCCGTAGACGACGTTTGATTGCATTCTTCACTAAGACATATTATTTGAAAAATCGCCGGGTAAGATGTCATATTTTTTTGAAAGTTTTTTGAGCCCACTGGCAACTCAGTTTATCAGCATGTACTGTTCAGTGATTTATCCTTCGATGGATGAAATTCATGAGAACTGAACAAAAATTATCTTTAATAAGCAGTTATAGAAGTGTAATATTTCACTTATTAGGTTCTACTACACATTTACGCGTCTCGATTATGAGTTATCAGCATTGAACACATTTGTTGAGCACCGAATAAGATAAGATGGACTATGCGAGTCTCGAACTGAATCAGTTCCTCTCTAACTGAGTTCCATTTTTGAAGATTTGATTGTGACTCTTAACTTGATTCAGTTCGTATCACACAAATTTGTGAAACATTCTTTTGGAAGCCGGAACATCAATTCAGTTGAAAAGTATTGCCGTACTCTTAATTAGTGCTATTGAAAGGTTAATCTGAAAAGGATTTTCAATTTACAGATTTTTTTTTCAATTTGATCACTCATTCATATGAGTGAATAGTAAATGAATGGAATAGCACTTGACAACGCACCACCACACAATTCTTCGCAAGTGAACGGCAACCATTTCACATCCATTAACTCCTTTCAGTGCACGTTATGAAATGACAGTGTTGAAGCAAGAAATAAAACGTTATTATATATCGTTGTTACTTTTATCTCACCATTTTTTGCCTGAGAATTATGAAGATATTTCTTCTATTACTCGTGTTTCTTGTTGCCTTTTTTGTAGCTAACCATACAAATGCCAAATTCGTTGTGAGGATAAACATAGAAGAAAATTTTTTCGTTTCTTTTCTATTCTTGTTCATTTACGCATTTCTGAAAGTCTCAGTTTCTTTTCACTTTCATTCGAATTCACAAAGTTCTGATAGCAGCCAGCGGAATGCTGGCAAGATCAAGTTTGCGCAGTGCAGATGGTATGATAGATTCAAGAAACCTAACGCTCTATCGCCTTATGCAAGCGCGATTGTTTTATCAGTTGACAGCAATAGTGAAAGTAGCGCAAACGAGATTAGTATATTTTCGGTAATTTATTTTGTTGATCACATTTTTAGTGTGTTTTAAACTTGAAGCAGTTGAAGTGAATGAAGTACTGAACATTTTCATTCTGAAGATACAACTTGATTATAACGTTGATAATTTCTAGAGCAGACCTCTCAGCAAAATATGATGTTATCGCAATCGAACACATCCAATTTCATCCATTTCTATTAGTAATCTATTTCTCGAAGATGTCTTACTCGTCTGACAAAATGTTCATTTCCTTTCTAATACAACAATTGCACTAAGCATCATACTATTGCTATTTTGCTGTCGAAATGCTCAACAATTGTTTATTCATGTGTTTCACTCATTGTGCCGTATTATAGCAGTTCATTAAATCTTTCTTGCAAAAACTTTCATAACGAAGCTGTTAGGAATCAATCTGAGGAAAGTGCTCTTTTGAAAATACCTGTTTGAGAAGCGTGATAGAACAATTATGAAATCGCATTCTTTCTGTGTATCAAATACCACTTTTCTGCATTAATCTAGCAAATAGTTCGACAAACCGTTGATTAACCAAACAATTGATCACTCAGACAATGTAATTGCGAAGAGGTTTTCACCGCTTCGGAAACATTATTCATAACTGTGAGAGCAAGAAGCACTTCAATGAGTTTTAATTGTATGAACGCAAACTTATGCTCATTCTCATCATACATTCACAAGTCTATCATTATCGCTTCACGTTGAGCGAAGATGTGTTATGCACTTTGAATAGTTGTTTTAAGCTGTTAATTGCACCTTAACCAACTTTACAACGGTTTTATAAACAAATTCTGACAGCTTCTCATTCCAATTCTGTTGTTCACAACTAGCACGCTGATCGATTCTTATTATGCTTCAGTGTTGTATCAGTCCATTTTGACCTCTCTAATTTTTTTACATTTCCATTGTGATATCGTTTCATGTTAATCTACTACTATTCCAGAAAAAAAAACGACATCTACTACTGCATGTACGCCACCAAACATTTTCATATCATCAGCACTTTTGCAAACGTTATTCAAACACTTAAATGAGTCAACTATAATAGGTTTTGTGATTGAATAAGTAATGTTATATCCCTTCCCCATTAATCTGGCACTGAATCCATCGTTAAAACTATTCAAATTCTTACCTTACTTGCTCAACGTAGTGCAGATATGTGTTGGCAAAAATCATTCCTCATTGGACATTTTACGAAGGTGGTGGTATATACTACTCGATCCTGTGCAGACCCTCCAATATTGCCGAACGTCATAAAATAGAAAAAGCCTTCCACGTCCCATTAGTTCACAAAAAACAACGCTGGATTAACTGTAATCAATACATGTAGTCTTTAATTGGTGATCAGTATGCGCTTATTTCTACTTTTATTGTCCCAATGACAATTGTGATATTTTTGTCGGATTAGTTCGATGAAAATTATTTTCAAAGAATTCCTTCATATTTTGCTGTAAGTGAACGGTAATGAATATTTAGTTTAGTGATGACATTCAATTGAATAGTAGAGTGTTTTGTTTCTTCGTCTGGATTTGTTGTCGTCTTACGAAAAAATGAAATGCAAAGCACAATCAAAAGACAGCTGCTTTCATCATCGCTAACAGAAAATGTGATCAGTTGCTGTTGTAATGCAAACAGAACACTTCGAATTGCGATTTTGATTACACCCAATTGAAGTGGTGATGATGCAACGACCTGTCGACAAACGAGCATTATTGATGTGAATCGTGAACTGTGATTCAAATTTACGTGCTCCTTTGATGGATATATGCTAGTGTACCATTATTAGCAGTCGATTAGTTTTCATATGGATGTAAGCTCAAACGAATGTCATATCAAATCGAATATCTGTGATCGAGCGTCACTCAACATGCATTATCAATCGATGATCGTCACCGATTCGGTACTCATTATGAATGCAATTTTCACTGCGATTCTTCCATTAAAATACTTTTGCAGTCTTGTGCTTTCATCTTTCTCATCTATCATTTGATTCTGAATTACCAGCTGTAATAATCTCAGCATTGAATTCAATGTGTTAAACCCAAAAAATTCAACTATTCAATTGACGCTTGGAATTTCTTTGCGCATTGTTTTCGAATCGTTAAAGACTTCCGTGTTGAGGATGCAAATTCAAAATTTTTCATGATGAAAAATTTGTTCCTATTTTTCGAAGTCAAAGCAGAATTCGGTGTTGATTGGGACTGTCAGAAAGTAGGTCCCTTTAATGGATTGATTCGAAAGTCAAATATCGGTGCAGAAATTGATCATTACAAGAGGGTTAATCATTCGTTTGTAAAGAGGTTATTTGTTAGTGGAAATAAATTTTGGACTGCATATGTCAAATGATGATTACCCCGAATGTGGCATCAATTTCATTCAGTCAGCTGACTTCCTCAATGCTCAGTGAATAGAATCAATGCAGAAGAAATCATTGGGCGAATTATGTTGTATTGTGGGTAGTTCACATATCACTTGACGGTCTGTATTTAGCTCGGATAACCAAAAGGAACCTTGTTTTGCCTTTCTCAAAGAGGTGCTTTCGCTTTACAAGAACTGCTATCAATTTATGACAAGCTGATAGAATCAACAGTAAGTCAGCAGACACTGACTTCAGTTGAATCGTACTGCTCTGAACCTGTTCATTCAGTACTTTTCCTGACAAATAGAACTTACAGTCAAGTGGAACATATGAATCGATGATCATTTTTTATGTTTTCCTGTTCTTCTCTTTTTGATGTTCAATTTCAAAATGACACAAAAATCACTGTATTGATTGATTCAAAACAAACAGTATTTTCAAATCTCTGAATAATAACTTGGTTTCTTTCATTTTGGAAGGAAATAAATACACCTCATCGACACAAATGGCATATAATTGATCAATAATTACGAATAATTTCTCTAATTCATTTACAATTTGATGCACGCGAATAACTGAGTAGCTGCTTAACAAAGCATTTGATTTTTCTCATTAGAGACTTTCATTTTTGTCTCATATACTGCTTGTGGAAGAGGATTTATTCCTAAAAAAAAACACTATGTTTAATTTTTAACGAAATGAGTAGTCTCGTCGCGTGCACACTTGTATTAGTTCTTTCAGACATTATGGGCAGCATGCAGAGCAGTTGTATTCGGCGCAATTGTTATCGTCGTTGGAATGTTAATGACTGTCGTTGGTTATTTTGATGTCGATCTAGCTCAAGTAAGTGCTACATTGCTTCTTTCGTTATTTCATGATCATCAGTAATTTCTTGAAAGCCCTCACCTCGAGTGGCAAAACATTTGGAATGAACAAATGCTATGTTGTTCAGCATAGCTTCATGCATCAGTCAGTCCAACCAGATCGGAAACGAATTCAAGTGCGTTTCGAAAAGTTGCATTTTGCTTGTGTTCATTTCGATGAAATCTCCTCAAATAACCGCTATTTGCATAATTTTCATCCATTTTTTGAATCTGTTCCATTGTGGGATTGAAATTCAGGAAGAAAAATACAATGAAGAAACGGGTGAGAAGGAATTTATCGTGAACCTGTCGAAACGTTATCAGCTCAAGAGTTTACAGTATGTAGGTCCAGTTCTAATGGGTATTGGATCGTTTATTCTAATTATTGCCTGTGTTATAACGCTCGAAAGCCGAGATAAGCATACCCAAGTATGTATTACATTGTTTCAACTCATCTCCTCATCAAATTCCTTTGTGCTAACGAATTTTGCGTGAAAATGATGAGAAAAAATAAAAACCGTACTGATGTTGCGAAATATGATGCACAAAAATTCGCTATCGTTAATATATTCAGTAGTGATTATTTTGCAATATTTTCGTGCTGCGTGTTTCACAGCTATCGAATTTACAGAGTTGAATATAATATATAGTGCTTAGATAATCCATGAAGAATCAAAAGAACTGCGCAAGAAACAGAGCGAAGCGCTGCAAGCTGAGCAAGATGTCGAGTGTGTTCACAAACAATTACGAACGGTTACGCAAATTGGCAGTTGGAAACCGGCCTACTTACAGCTACCGAGGATAGACTCAAACGATTCAAGATGTATGTTTCAAGAACACATCTTGTCCGAAATATACACCAACATAGTTGATGGGAATGTGAATGTTTACAGAAGCATTTTTATCCATTCAAAAGAAATACTATAGCATTCAGTTATACTCTGAAATGCCAAAGATATATCACTCAGTTCAATAAAGTGCGGATTTTTTTTCTACATTGATTGTCGTGAATTTGGAAAAGATGCCAGTGGAAAAAGTACGCATCAGACTGAGCAATTCCGACTATCATCTTTGATAATTCCTAGAATGAATTTTGTAGTTTCGTTGGAGCGAAAATTTTCATCAACATCCTGTATACCCCAACTGCTTCAAACTGCTGATACAAGGTGAGCATATTTTTAGTTATCAGAGTTGTTTGGTTTTGTGAATGACTGTATCGTATTAATTCGGGTAATGAACAAAAATGAATTCTGAACCGGGTACCAACCATCCTTGAACGTGAGTGTAGTTCACCGTGTATTTTGTCATTTAATCAAAACAAAATTTTTGTTGTAAAAATTTCTACGATCTGATCAACAGTATTGTCACAATGTTTTTCCGTGAAAATTCAGTAATCCTTTTCTTTAAGCCTCGAAGCTGGCTGATTTTAACATTCAGGCATTGATGACTACTGAACGTACTGAACAATCCACCGTTGATATTGTCTATGTATTTTGTATCATAATGTTGATATGAACGACTCATCGGTGCCCATTCAGTTAATTTTCAGGAAGCTTTATGATCGTCTCCTGGAGGATTATTATAATGAAATCTATCACGAGATTCCCAAAAATGACTCTGAACGAATTGATACCTCATTGCCTGCGGATGGCAATCGTTGTGAAGAAGAAGTCACAAAGTGAGATTTGAACATTTTGTAAGGTTTTCAACTTCTTTGCATGAATGTGTGGCATAGTTTATACGCAATCACACTGATTCGATTATGATATTGGGCATGATTCTAGCAAGAAATACGAGAATACGATTGAATTTTTTGGAATAACTGATGAAGCAATGTCCAACCATGAAAAGAAATCTAATTCTTCATCCATCGGAAAGTTTAATCTGCTTCATACGACGTAGATGATATGTCCAGTGTTCTTTGTTTTCTTTAATCCAATTTTCTTAATAAAATTATCAGTATGAGCGCGAACTACGTCGAGAATGTAATGAATTTAAGGTTGTAGTAGAAATATGTGTACGAATCAGTTTCCTTGTGATTTTAGACAAAGTGTTGTTGCTGAGGTTCATGTACCACCTTGCAATTCGTTAAGTTCATCGAATTCAGCAAATGCGTCGTCAGTATCACCATCGGGATGTAATCAGACAGCTGAAGATCAACATCAGATACGTACTGATTCAGTTTCTGTGAACCATATTCAGCACACCATGCAACAGACCCATAATATACAATCTACGAGTCAACAAGATACATCCACTCAAATTGTAAACCTACAGTCTGGAGATATTCCTTTCATAGAGAATACCTCAAATGCAGTGACCAAGTTCAGATCCTCGTTGACTGTAGTTCATGACCAAAAGACAGCACCAATAGCAGAAATTGATGCAGATCTACATTCGTTCACTTCATCCTCATCCCCGAATAGTCCTCAATCAATCGGTAGTATTAAAGCAGTTTGCAAAAGTTTGCTTGAACCGAAACCTCAATCTTGCACACTAGCGAATGGTATGGAAATGCGGTGACTTCTTCAATGGCACAGTACTGCAATCATAAAGTTCTTATGTTTGTCTGTTCAACGTGCCTCCGCCTATCCTACGGGCTGATATCTTCCACAATATACTGAACGCATTATCAACTCAGAATGTCATTTATGTTATAATATCATTCCGTGTTTTGTCAATTGTCTCAATTTCGATTATTAAAACGATTTGAAGTGATTCAGTTTTGTTGAACATGTATATATTATCATCGTTTGTGAAATTATGTTTGTTCTTCTCATTTATTTATTCTTCATTGCCTCAGATTATGACGCTACCAAAAAAAGAATTCTTACGCAACAATCGGAATCGTCCCTCTGCAAGTGAGCAAAAGGGCAAGATAAGTTGAGTCTCTGGGACGTCGTTCACCATCATGTAGACCATTTTCGTCACAACTATTCCAAGGAATAAAAAAGAATGAAACAGTTTAACTGGAATAGAAACATCAATAGTTGTGAAGAAAATGGTGTGCATGATGGTGAACGACGGCCCATAGACTTACAGAGCAATTCCAGGAAGAAGGATAGAACGGAATAGAACAACTGAGGAGCGGAATAGAACAGTTTCTCAAAAGTGGGGAACATAAACATCACTAGTCACAACTGTGTTGATGTATTTTGATCGAAAATTCAACTCATTTTTGCGTATCGTAATGACAAATCGGGGTTATGTCGCTTAATTTTCTTCGCAGATTGAGTGACGCTTTTAGCTGCGTTCTGAGAAGTTCGTTTCGGTAGTATGATTGGTATTGGATGGAAATTCGATATCACTATTCTGCACTTTATTTGACACTTCTCATCAACAAACATTTATTACTCTATGCAGCACATTCGCTATTTCAGCTATTATCGTCTCCTTCTGCTATACACATACTTACATTAGATGAACATATGCTTGCCTAGAGATTACCACCGTTTTGTTAATAATGTTAATGATGTGAATGATTTTCTCCACTATTATCAGGTATTTCTGGATTATGTGTGTGAATATTTCGAGAACTTACAGCTCGTATGCTAATTATCTTTTGACATCAATAATTATCATTAACAATCACAAATCACTTTGAAAGTCATATCGGAATAATTTAGTATGAAGTGTATGCAGACTGCATTGATCTTCTATTTACCCAAACCTTGTAAACAGCAAAAAGGACGATCGTAGTAGACATTCCAAGAATCACACCACCTGCATAACACATCAAACATTTATATGTGTTCACTCATTCGCTATTACTTTAATGTCAAATATGAGATTTTTTTCGTTGAGTTGGGAAAACTACTCAATTGTCTTACAATTAGTTATAACGATGGAGATACAAAATTTTTGGTTTTTTTTGTGACTAAGTGCATTGATCAAAATTGTTTTTTGCAATAGTTCTTTAAGATTTATTCCTTTTTGCATGGATCGTCTAAATGAGCGGGCAAAATGGACCAACCGAAGAATGATGATCCACTGAATGATATTGGTCTATAAGTTTTAGGTGAGGTTGTTTGTATCATTTGACTCGTTGTAGCCTTTTGCTGCGTTGTGGTTGATTCGTTGTGTGTTGTGGTTGATTCGCTCTGTGTTGTGGTTGATTCGCTCTGCGTTGCAGGAGGGGTTACCGTAGTTGTTATATTAGTTGAGTTATTATCAGACAGCACCACTTCATTAGTGAGGATGCATAACAAAATGATCGCTCTCAAAAGTTCTCCTGAAAATAGACTGCAGATTCAAGATACTTCGAATAAGCTTTGTTCATTTTCTGGATATGAAGACGTTATATTAGACTGAAATTGCAGATCGAAATGAAACATTCCTAAAACAAGTTTACAAAAAACAAATTTACAAAACAAATTTATGAACAAATATAGAAGAAAGAGGACTGAACGATTTGCATATTCATAGATGCATCAAAAATTTTGGTTATTCACGAAAACATAGGTCAATCGAAAACCACCTTACATACGAAGTTCTGAAATACTTCAATGTCTTTTTTGGACCGATCAATCTATTTCGTATTAGTTCTGAATTGAGTAAATATAAGCAAAAAGTTATTACCTCCATTCATTGCATCGAGGTACGCTCAACCGAAGCGTTAAAATATAAAACAATTTGATGATGAACAAAGAAAATGCGAGTCAAATGTATGAAGCGAATGAAGAAGGAGTACTGACTGATAGAGAAATGGGAAATGACGAATGCTTGTGAGTGATAATGACGATGCGGCTGGCAATGGTATCTATCGGGTTAGATAATACAAAAATCAATTATTTGTTTGAACTTTCGTTGGAATTGTTGATGAAGCAAAATGTGTAAAGAGTGCACTGCTTGACGTCAGTCTTAAAATTTCATTTCTCTAGGCACTGATATTCCATCGATGTCACATCAAGAAAAGAATAACTGCTATATGATCATAGCAGCATATTACCGCAGTAAATAATACTGCGTACGAACGGTTTTATCACTGCAGTGTTTTCAGATAAGATCAGCATACTGCTTTGTAGCGTGCAATCCTTAACATGCACACAAATTTGCTCAATATCTTCCTTTAGCATCACTTCATAACAGCTTTCGGCACTGACTTCCAAAATCACATTAATTTTGGCGCATCAAAGATAAGCTTGGGGTATCAAAAAGCTTTCTGGTGCATCACATGTCTCGTTTTTGGTATCATTACACCCCGTAGTGAGTGCAGAACTCAGCAGTTTTTTTGATTGATTCTGCACAAATTTGCACTGAATTAGTGTCGCTCAATCCGAATTTTACGATTCCATTGAAGTTCTTTGCAGTCTCCGATTAACATCCATCGGAAATCGAGATTTTTTTTGTATCACTTTCGATGAGCATTAAGTTTCGAATATTTCCATCACTCGTCTGTGCAGTGTTCATTTTCACCAAACACACCTTGCTGATCAACGATTGAAATTTTGGCACCTTCTAAGATCCCACGAAGTATCTACTTCTTCTCAGTGCAAAACCAAATGCGTAATAGAATTTTTCTTGTGAATTTTTGTACCCTCCAATGACCATCCTAAAAATTAACAAATTTGAGCATAATAGTGTCCAAGTTGTAATCAAACAACAATCTGTGTATTCGTTTAAGCATGTAGAAGCATTCTTACACAAAAGCATCCTAATATTTGATGATAATGAAATCCTTACTGATAGTGAGATAGTATTGGATTAGTGACAGGAGATAAAGAAAACATGGTCAGAAATCTGCAATATGTTAAAAAATTGACCTAAACTTTTCAAAAAATCGAACCAGTCGAAAAAATTCGACACCTTAGGAATACGTGTTAATGATGAAGTAATAAGTTCTCACTGACATGGCAATAAATTAACGATTTATGAAACATAGAAACAGTTCACATGTTTGTAATCATTGTTGAAAACCGACTCATAATCGACAAGAAAAATTAAGTAAACAAAAAATTCTTTCGACCATTGGTAAGAAGTATGATTCACATGTATATTTTTGAATTGATTTGATTCTGCTATGTCATCTTGACACCAACAATAGACTTTTCACATCCCCAATTTTGTCTCCAGTATTCCTGATCGATAGATGTTTTACGAGCCATCCATACGTTCTGCTTTTTTTTTAAATCTTACTCAAGATATTTATATCAGCAGACTGAGATTATTTTCAGTACTAACACAACAATTCACAGAAAATTCACCTCCATTTATAACTGAAATGAACTAAACGTCGTTGGTGAAATGAATTTGATATGAAAAGGAGAGATCGAAATTGTCATGATTCACCAATTATTATTAGCTGCGCACACACGCCTAACACTCAGTTTGTATCAAAGAAGTAATTGAAAAATGAATCAATCTCAATTAGCTGTTTGCAGTGCTTTTTGCGGACGCTTGTACATAGATTGAGTGTCATTGGTGATCCTGAATGAGCAGTGGTTAGATGACACAAACACCGACGTATTCATTCAGATCACGTATGGAATGAGCAATCTGCGATCATACTTCGAATGCAACAATCCGCGTACCGTTTACTGAAAACGCTTCGAATAACCCATTGCATCAATGAATAATGCACGGAAGAGATGCGATGCTGTTTCCGTTGACCAATGTTGCAATCAGTGAAAACTACAGTTGTGGCCATTGCTGCGAATTGAGTGTACAACGCAATTTTAAAGCACGTTTGAATCAATTGAAAAACATAAAAGCATCAGATGTGAAATGATTCATTATTCCACCATTTCATTATAATTTCAGTTTACTCATGAAATTTTATTTACTAAAATATTACACCTCAAATGAACATTGTGAACGCTCATTAATGATGAATAAATGGCCAATATTATGATGCGATTAGTATGGCTTAATACATCTAAGTACCCTTGTTATACCTTTGTACTAGTTTTGTTTTATCGAAAAATTCTGAAAAACGTAATATATTCTTGTGACAAAAACTAGATTGAAATGCAACTTGAGAAAGTGTTGAACATGAAGCTTCTTGCAGAATACAATCAATTCAATGGAATCATACAGCAACAAATGAATGTGTTCAAGAATTCATATAAAAGTGCGCAGTGATACACTTCATTATAAAATATGATAACTGCAAACAAATGAGTTTCCGTAGTGTTAGACAATGATTGATAATGATTCACGACTTCTTCTTTCATTCTCAAGTGAAATATTTTATTCGTTGTTGGGCTCAGTGATGTTACATATCGATTAATAGGACATTGATTAACGTTACATGTTGATGATCGTTCAACTGATAAGAACTGATGGCAGTATAATGATCAGATTCTTTGTGGCAAATGAAGCGTATTCCTGATTTTGAAAGTATTTATGCTTCTCTAGTAACTCAATTTTTGCAATGAGCGATTTCAAATTTTCACTCTTCTAATGATTCGGAAGGGTAGGCCCGATGCGAAATGACCATCAAATATTTTTTAGTTACGATTGAGCTTGAAAGTGGATTGATTCAACATTCACGAATTGAAAGTGTAATTTTGTTTGTAAAAAAATCTTTGGAACAGATGATAACATTTTTGTGCTTACCAGTGTTGACAAAAAAAACAATTTTGAAAAATTCACAATAGAAATAAAGGTAGTCACCTCGTCATCAATAAGCCTGTTATATTGATATCGATTGAGTCAAGTGATACTAACAAAGAAAATGCTCTTTATAGGCGGCTAGATGTTTTCAAGAGTGAACACAGTGAGGCATCTTTTCGACGATAAAATGCTTGTTAAATGCAAATTTGCAGCATGAAGTTATGGCAAAATTTACTAGAGAAGCATAAATATTTCTGCAGGTTTATAGTTCAAAAAAAAAATACTTACTGTGTCCACTGACTCATAATTTTGCTCACACATATTCATTAAAATGATAAAGGACTTGTATACCATAGAAATATGTTGCGGAAACGATAAATCATACAAAACAACCTGAAGCAAATTCACATTGACCTGGCAAAAAGAATTATCGAGAAAAGTGAACGCAACTAAAGTTCACAGTACGTATTTGGGCATTCGTGATATATCAAATTAACAGCTTCTTTCGTTCGCCTTGCAAATTTCATCCTGGTGAGCTCTCATTATCTTAGCCGTATTGTAATCACTAGCAGTTACAAACATAGCTTTTCACCAATTTTCACATTCAACGTTTGACCTTTCATCACCGGTTAATATTGCATAGCTAACTATAAGAAAAATTTCCGCAATACGTCAACATCACGGTATATGATGTTTCCGACAGATTTGGGCGCAAGGATGGCGAAATTCTCAATTTTTTGATGACAACTTATTGCTGGTCTACGTAAAATCAAAACTGATTCCCATCATTGACAATAACAATGTTCCTCAGTACAATTACAACACTAATCATATCTCATTAACACAACATTTTCTGTCGCAGTAGTTCATAGAAACGACAACAAATAATCCGATGACATTCAAAATCAGGACGTTCGCAGGTGAAACATCTGACATTACGTGTGGCCAGAAAATAAACTTTCGGCGATAATTTGCTCTGTAACGGTTCATTCCATAATTTCCACGGCGTTCTCCCAATTAGGACCGCATATGCAGAGATTTTTGAATCAAACTACGACATCAAAATCGATTGTACTCAACAGCTTAATGGCATGAAGTTGCAGTGTTACTACTTGATTTGACGATTCGTTGAATTGCGCATTCTATCTTTGGATGTAAC